AGGGGGAGTGTCTTCTGCTGTATCTTGCAACAAGGAGGCAAGATGTGCATCATACTCATCATGGATGTGATCAGGGAGAGTGGAGAACAGTAGATTATACTGTAGCTGTTGCAATCTTGGAAGAATGATGGATGAGACTGGTATGAAGACACTGCAGGGAGCAGGGAGGAAGGATCCATATGCTTCTTGGACTGGAGAGACTGAAACAACCACATAAGACCTTTCCAAGTGAATGACAGACCTGAGGCAACCAAAGAATGTCCTCCTAGAGGTCATACTGGCAAAAAGAACACACTGTCCAAGCTGGATGGGCTGAGAGGGGGCAGACAAGGGTGGGATGTACCAGGATGCTTCAGGATGGAAGCTGGTAGGAACTCCTGGTAGATATATGTAGCCATGGTCCCTAGCAAAGGGGACAAGTGAAATGATTGATGTGGAGGTGACCATATCAGAAGAATTAGTGAAATGAGTGTCTTTTGGAGGGAGTGCTGTAGAATTGTGTGGAGTGCACAAATCCTTTCCAATTTTGGAAGGTAGGATTGTGTGGCTGAGCACTACAAGCAAGTGTGGGAATGGTCTTGGTATAGAAACAGTGGAGATATGTCAAAAACTGGAATGCCATACACAGGCACTTAAGAATTTTAACCAGTGCTTAACTCACTCCCTTTCTTTTTCTTTGGCACTGATGACTCATTCTTGTGCAAGGGATGACTGCTGACATTTCTGGCTGTCCTTCTTCACATGAGGGCTATGGTCTTCATCCCCATTCATCAGCTGTATCCATGTCCACCTCACCAAACACCCTTGGTGTGTGACATTGGGTTGAGGCTGGACTGGAGACCAAAGTGGGTGCAAGGCTGAGGGGTCAGGATCAGGGGGAGGGTTGAAGATGCGGAGGGGTGGACTGATTGGACTTAGCAACTGAGATTGCAGCACTATTCCCTTGCATGGGTCTCAGTCCAAGTCCAAGGTTGAGATGGGATTATCAGAGTAACTTTGTTGATTTCAGGCTGAAGGGTACAGGCCAAGTATTTACAAGTTTATATACTAGAGGCAACTATAGTATGGAGACCAGTAATGCCAGTCTTGCAAAGATTGCTAAGGTGATTGGTAAGACAGGGCAGACCAGGGACAAGACTGGGCAGGATTCAACTGAAGTGACAAGCACTGCAAAGCAGTGTTCACCATGCTAGACTAACTGGAGATATGGGATTGGCAAGGCCAAGGCTGGACTGAATGAACACAAGGCTGAGTCTGGCCAGGGTCAAGACATGACTATGACAGTATCCCCCTCTTAGGGGTCAAACCCATGAGACCCCTGAGAGTGTTAGGCTGAGTCTGCAAACTGGCTGAGTTTGAAAAAGTGATACTTGTGGCCTGCTAAGCCCTTTGTGTCTTTTCTTTACATCTCAATCATCATGTCTGATTCAAGACCAATCATCACCACTGACAACAACAATGAAGGCCAAGTCATTGTTGACTGGGCCCAAGTCCCTGATGATGACATTAGATATGACACCAATGACAAAGAGGAGGTGATGAGAGCCAAGTTGAAGGAAAGGAAGAGGTGAAAGGCAGCTGAACAAGCCCAGCAGGAAGAGCAGGTGTGGCTGGAGGCCAAGAGAGCAGAGAGGGAGCAGATTGAGGCTGAGAGGGCAGAAAGAAAGAGAGTCAACACCAAGCGAGCAGAGATGGAAGCTGAGGAGAAGAGGGCATGTGAAGGGGAGGAGAGGTGGGAGGCTGAGTCCAGCAAGGGTGATGAGGCTGGTGCTGGGGGTGCTAGTGGTGAGGCTGGGGGTGAAGTGAAGAGGGTGGTAATGGACCCTGGGTGAGTATCCTTTCAACCTGGTGTGTGTCTTTCATTTAATCTCCTCTTTAGATGTACTCACTGCTCCTGGGCTAAAGTCATCTGTGAGTTCCTCATAGACAGCAATAAGAAATGGGTTGCCTGCATCCAGTGCAACCTATTGAAGAGCAAGTGCTGGTGGCCAGGAGATGGGAAGGACACTGAGGCTGGTCCCAAGGCCACTGCCAAGGTTGATCAAGGCAAGAAGCAGAAGGCTGACAAAGAGATGCCTGAACCTGGGCTGAGCCAGAAGAAGTGGGTGAAGTTGAGACTGACTGAGGTGCTGGAGATTGACAAGCCCAAGGCCAGTGGGAGCAGGGCTAGGGAGGCTGTGGCAGGGGAATTCTCAGGCTTGGAAGACAAGCTCAAGCAGCTTATTGACATTGCAGGGCTCATTGCCAACAACTTGGTGGGCCTTTTCAAACTCTAAGAGGCCACAGTTGAGAACTCAGGCTGCATTGCTGATATGCTTGAGGCCATAATCAACAAGTCTTATGGCTTTGGGGTGGTGGTCCCCCCCTCAGACTCAGGCTTGTCTGAGCTTGACTTGGATGAGCTGCATGAGGAAGCAGAGTGGCTACAGGCTGAGGGGGAAGATGAGCCCATGGCTGAGGCCAAGTAGTACACTAGCATAGCACCTTTGTTATCCCTATCTGCAAATGTGACATGTCCAGTGTCCAGTGCTATGCAATAAAGTAAGAGAAACAAGAAGGGGAAAACAAGGTAAGTAAGAGATCAAAGGAAAACTAGATACCAATAGGAAACAGAACAGAAACTGAGGCCAGTCAAAGCCAGTCCTCATTGGAAAGGGCTGGGTTTATTGGGGTAGCAGGAATGGAACTCCTGTATGAGTTCAGACACATTGTCTAGCTCAGTGGCAAGTACCCAAGTAGCTTCTTCATCAGTCCCCTTGTAGCTGGTCCAATGGACTAAGTATTGAAGCCAACACTGGTGACACTGGTCAACCTTGGAGTTGAGGATTTCAGCCACCTTGAACTCTAGTTCACTATTGACTTTGACTGGTGGGGGTGGTGGCTGAGTCCAGTTTGGGATGGTATTAGGGATGGCTGTTTGAGTTGGGAAATGTGGAAGACCAGATGGACTGTGCACATTGAGTCTGGCAGGTGCAGTGTGAATGAATGGGTACTGGCCTGAGCTATGACTGGATATGGTCCAAGGTTTTTCTCTGAAAGCTTCTTGGAAGGCTGAGTTGACCAGAAGTATTTGGCTTTGACATATACCTGGTCACTGACCTTGAAGTCTGGGGCCAGCATGCATTTAGCATCAGTCAGGCCTTGGTATCAGCAACTGCCCATAAGACTGGGTACTCAAGGTAAGTGGTGCAAAGGGAGACCACTAGTTGCTCCTGGGTGAAGACTGGTCTCAGGTTCTGTGGGTTTACTCAGGCATAGCCACTATCCCCCTCTTTGGGGTAGATGTCCCATCATCTAGTTAGGGCATTGGGCTTAGCCCTGAGCTTACTGGGCCTGAATATAATGATCATATTGAACTGAGACAGGAATTCTGACCAGTGAGCTTGGTGGTGGGTGAGCACTTTAGAGGTAGAGAAGTACTCTAGGTTCTTGTGGTTGGTAACAACATCAACTGGCGAGGCCAAGCCCTCAAGGTAATGGTGCCAGGTCCAGAATGCTTCAAAGATTGCAAGCAATTCCTTATCATGGGTATCATAGTTCAACTCTGGGGCCATCAGAGTCTGGGAGTAGAAGGTGACTGGATGTATCTGGATGTCACTGCAGGTGATAGAGAGGATGCCAGTGATGGCATAGTCTGATGTGTCAGTTTTGACAGTGATGGGGACCCTGGGGATGAAATGAGTTAAGACTGGCATGGTGGTGAAGGCAGCCTTGAGGTTATTGAATGACTGGGGGCACTCCTCAGAGAAGTTCCAAGGAGCCCCCTTGCAGGTAAGCCAATGTCACACACCAAAGGTGTTTGGTGAGGTGGACATCGATGCAGCTGATGAATGGAGATGAAGACCATAGCCCTCATGTGAAGGACAGCCAGAAATGTCAGCAGTCATCCCTTACACAAGAACAAGTCATCAGTGCCAAAGAAAAAGGAAGGGAGCAAGTTAAGCACCAATGAAAGTTCTTAAGTGCCTGTGTACAGCATTCCAGTTTTTGACATATCTCCACCAAATTTGCAGATACCAACACCATTCCCACACTCACTTGTAGTGCTCAGCCACACAATCCTACCTTCCAAAATTGGAAAGGATTTGTGCACTCCACACATTTCTACAGCACTCCCTCCAAAAGATGCTCATTTTGCTAATTCCTTTGATATGGCCACCTCCACATCAATCATTTCACTTGTCCCCTTTGCTAGGGACCATGGCTATGTATATTTATCAGGAGTTCCTACCAGCTTCTGTCCTGAAGCATCCTGGTACATCCCATCCTCATCTGCCCCCTCTCAGCCCATCCAGCTTGGACAGTGTGTTCTTTTTGTCAGTATGACCTCTATGTTGGAAAATTATTTGGTCCATTGCAATGATGTCAGATTTTTACACAGTGATAATCAGTTCACAATAGATTGCATGTGAGAGTGCAGAGTTGCAATATGCTGGCAATGCCATTGCAATGCCCTTTGCAACAGCAACCACTACTGTCTGCATCTTGCTTTGCTGTCCACTCATTTTTCTTTATTGTATTTACTGTCTTTACTCTCACAGGATGCATTCCCTTTGTTGACCAGTAATATGCCTCCGGAAAAGCACACTACTACCTGCGAATTGTGTGGGAAAACATTCAAGCTGACTGGAATAGGACCTCATCGCAAATTGTGCATCAGGTGGGCTTGCAAAATGAATGAAGTTCACACTCACTTTGACTTGCTTTGTTGAGAAGGTACATAGGAATTTTACCAGTTGATTTTATTTCTGATTTACCACTGGATCGATTTGAACAGGCATTCTTACTGGTGGATCAGTGACAGGGCCCACTGTTGAGACACACACAGAGCCAGCACCAGGTAAGTTTCCTGCTACTCTCCAAATTGGACTCTCACAATTGTTAGCAGAGCCTGCTACATTCTGGCCCATGGTTATGGATCTCAAGCCACCTGCTGGTGCTGACATGGGTGTGAATGGTGAACTGAATGGTGCATGTTGATATGTGATCACATATTTTCCATGCCAATATGTTATGCAGTTGCTGAACCCAAGGTCAATATCAACATTGTTGACAATATCCAAGTCAAATACCACCTGAATGCTGGAAAGCCAACTGTGAAAGTGCCATTTGCTGAGTTCACCTGAGGTCATGCACCAAAGACATACAAACTGGATCCATGCACCACTCTGTGGTACCTGTCCCAAACCCATCTCAACTTTGACCTCTCAGAATTTATCCACAATGCTGCTCTTGACAAGGAGCAAGCAAATTGTATCCTCAAGCTTTTGAAATGTTCTCACACTGAGGACTGGATGCTGAATAATTACAATGATCTTGAGAGCACTCAGTGGGCTGCTTTGCACTGCATGACAGCAGCAAGTGGCATCTATTCATTGTCATTGTCAACCCTAATTACATCCTAGCCCAGTTTCAGACGACGATAATAAGTGCACTGTTTGGAGGTGAGATGATGGAATTTAAGATGTATTATGGTTCGTTGTGGGATTGGGCCTGCAATCTCTTGAAGGATTCAGGTGTGGGCCCATATTTTGTATTCGATGCTCAGGACCTATCCAAGTTCAATGGTGCTTCATTTGTTCATTTCATCAATGAGCCATGGACAGCTAATGAATTTTGGGATGTACAAGTATGTCATTAGTATTCTTTGCATGCAACTTCAACAATTTTTTTTCAGAGTAATCTACCTTTGGATGGCAAAGTTCTAGCATTTGTTTTATATGCTGATAAAGCCAAGTTGTTGTCATTTGGTCAACATAAAGGGTATCCAGTTGTTGTGCAGATTGCGAATCTACCTACTTGGATCCATAATGGTGAAGGTTTAGGTGGTGGCCATGTAGTTGGGTGGTTACCAATTGTAAGTTCCTTTGTTGATAGCATTGAGTACACTGGCTGATTTTCTGTATTGCACTTCTAATAGGTGAAGGAAGACAAGAAGTACTCTGGAAAGAAATCATTTGCCAAGTTCAAGAATCATGTTTGGCATGAATTGTTCAAGAAGATACTAGATACAATATCAGAGTACTCAAAAACTGGCTATTGGGTAAGGTGTTGGGATGGCATTGCATGCCGACTTTTTCCTACTGTACTAATTCTTTCAGCTAATGATGAAGAGCAGTAAGTGGATATGCTGCCCAAAATATCATGAATGCAGGCTGACAATCTTTGTCACTCAGAGCAGTCATGGCACTCATATGTGGTGTGATGTCAAATCACCCTTGCCCCATTTGCCTTATCCATTGCAATGAGATATCAAAATTCCCCAAGGACTGTGAATGTCGTACCAGTGAGAACATTTTCAAGACATTACAGGAAGCACACTCACAGACCCGAGCAGATGGCAAGGAACAAATTCTGGTGAAACAGGGACTACATGATGTAGATGTAAGTGGCTCATGCTGTTACCTTTGCTCTAGCTCTAATTGCCTCTAGAGTGCCTTCTGGGAGGTCAGGAACATGGATGTTTATTGAGCATTGTGTTGGGATAGACTCCATGTCAACTGTGTGGGAAAATTTGGTGACCATTTGTGGGGAGAACTTTTGAGGATTCTCGAGACAATGGGTCATCAGACAATGGGAAAAGTTGAACATAAGTGCATCTATCTCATTGCATGAAGCAGTCATGCTGATAATTTACTGGTCTCAATGTGATGCCTTGTTGGCATGGTCTCAATCATTTCGAGGAAGCACTTTCAGTTTCATACACAGATGGTCAAAAGTTTGAGGACCTATCCAAGGTATTGTAAGTGTCTTACCAAGCTCTGATTTCACTGACATTTCCTGAACAGATAACCATATTCACCTGTCATGACATCTTCCCCCATGAGACAGAAAAAGACAGTTACCTCCTGTTACACTGTCTGCATGCTTACATCGAGTTTGATATATATACCATGCTCAAATTACATATGACACACACACTTGCTGCTGGGCAGGAGGCACTTGCTACTTTCAATTCATTGATTCAGGTCAGCTCTGCTTTCAATGTTGTAGCTCTCCCTCACTGTTTCCTGACCAGAAATATGCAGAGAAGATGCAACATACAGGGAAAAACTGGAACTTTCCAAAGAACCATACCTGTATGCACATGTTCAATGACATCGAAGCCAAGGGTGTCACCCACAATTTCAACACAAATCCAAATGAGAAAATGCATGGCCCCTTGAAGGAAGCTTATCAACAACAAACAAACTTCAAGGACATTGCTCAGCAAGTAAGTCCTAAATTGTTTGTTAGTATTCAGCATGCCTAAACTTCTGTAGATTCTCAATGTTGATCATCTCAGACTGGTTCTTGAACATATTCATGGCAGGATTACAGAATATGATGCTTACAGGTTGACTGGAAAACCAACAAATCTGGATAACCTCGAAGCCATTACTGACAAACCTGAGGAGGAGTTTTTCCATGTCAAGTTTGGTAGTGAAGTGAAAGAACCATTAACATTCAAGGACATCGAGAAGAAGAGTGTTACCAACAATGCATTCAATCGATTCCATGGAAAGCTCAGTGAGTTCCTCAATAAACACTTCAACATTATAGGGAAGCCCATTCAATTCCAAAGGAATGACAAGGTAAGATGAAACATCATTTTTGTTCAGTTTCTGGTATCTCTAATATTCACCAAAGATCATGGAATATCACTTCATCAAAGTGAACTTCGAGTCCACCATTGACTGGTGTCAGTACACAGATTATCTACATTGCCATCCTAACTTCCATGGATGTCCTTGTTATGACTGTGTGCTTGTCAAGACTCAGGAGAAAGACATATTTGGGCAACTTGTACTTTTGTTCAATTGTGTCATTGGTGAAGAAACCTTCCCCTTAGCCTTGCTACAGCCATATGATGCCTGGCTGATTGGGCAACGGCTCTGGAAGGACAACCACCTCAACTTCTGGAGGGTATGTGTGCAACCACACAGATCATCTGAAATTATTTCAGTCCACTCAATCATTCACAGTGCCCTTCTATATCCAGATCATACAAGACCAGGCAAGTATCTTGTTGTTGACACAATCGACACTGACATGTTCCTTCATGTGCAAATGATGCACAAAGTGGCAGGGCACCTCTGAAATGGTCTATTCATACATAGTCCTTCTGAAACCCTTTCATTTGAAACTGACAAGTCCCCCTTCTGATCATCAGTGTATTGAGGATTGACAAGCTGTCTAGCCCACAAAATAACAACATTTTCATTACTTCATAGATCCATACAGCATACAAGGTTATTTTCCCTTGACCATAGTCACCTCCTTGCTTTGGTTCATTTATTACCTTACTGCTAATAATATCTTTTCATCTTTGAACCACAGAGATTTGTGAGTATGTGCTACTCTGAGGTTGTTCATGTGAACATTCACAGAATGGAAGCATATGTGGAAGAAATGACCAGTGGTGACATGATCTCTACCATGAACATTCAAAAGGTTCAATAAGATGTCCTCAAACTCTGGACAGTCATCAACTCATAACCCAGAATCAGCCAGGACCGGAAGAGCCATATCAAGGCTCTGTATGAAGGTGTTGTCCATTTGCTGAGGAGGGGCCCTGACCAGCCTCATCAACATCATTGCAACCATTGTTCTTCCTCTCAGTTTCTTTGACCTCAGGTCTCTATAATCACATCCATATCTTCTGACGAGATGCCATTCTTCATGAAATTGCCATGCCTGGAACGACTTTCAAGGACAAGAACACTCTCCTCACTGGTGTCAGCAAAGGTTCCATTGGTGTTGAGATCTTAAAGGGCCTCATTTCCAGTGGTGCCCATGTTGTTATCACCACTTCCCACTACAGTCACTGCACTGTGGAGTATTACCAAGACATTTACCAAAGGTTTGGTGCCTGGGGTTCAGCACTCACTGTTGTGCCCTTCAATCAGGGGTCCAAGCAGGATGTCAAGGCACTCATCGACTATATCTATGCTACTCTTGGCATGGATCTCAACTACATCCTTCCATTTTCTGCTGTTCCAGAGAATGGGCATGAGATTGATGGCTTGGACAACAAATTGGAGCTTGCTCACCATATTATTATGCTTGTCAACTTGCTGCAGATCTTGGGTGCCATCAAGACCAAAAAAGTGTCTGGTCAGCTTGTTACTCGGCCTACCCAGGTTATTTTGCCATTGTCACCAAACCACAGCCTCTTTGGCAATGATGACCTGTACTCAGAGTCCAAGATCTCACTTGAAACCTTGTTCAACTGCTGGAACTCCAAAAGCTGGGGTGAATATCTATGCCTGGCTGGTGCTGTGATTGGGTGCATAACCCATTAAACCCAGCTTGGCACCTACAACTAACTCCCATCTTAGATGGACCCGCAGTACAGGTTTGATGGATGCCACCAATATAGTCACTCAGGAAGTTGAAGCTTACAGTGTGCACACCTTCTCCATGAAAAAGATGGCATTCAACATCTTCAGTTTGCAGAATGTGTGCTCCAGAATGTCAATGTTGTACCTTGTGCTAACTTCAAGCTCGATCTCCCTACTCTTGAACCTGCTTCTGCCTTTGAGGAACTCAGCAAATCACATGGTATCATCAACTTGGAAAAAGTCATCAGTCATAACTGGGTTTGCCAAAGTCAGCCCATGGCATAGTTCATGGACTCAGCAGGAGATGGAAGCTCATGGAGAATTCACTATTGAAGGTTGCATCAACATGGCATGGATCATGGGCTCTATTAAGCACTTTGACAGCCACCTCAAAGATGGTACTCTACATGTTGGTTGGGTAGACACCAAGACAGGAGAGCCTGTGGATGACAAGGACATTAGAAGCCAGTATGAGAAGGAGATTCTCAGTCATGCCAGTGTCTGTCTAATTGGTGCATATCTCTCCTTTCCCTGTGATCTATTGTTGAACTTGAAATGTAGATTCCCTGAATTGTTCTGTGGGTATGATCCCAAGAAGGTGTTCAACCAGGAAATTGAATTGATCCATGACTAGCCAGCTAAGTTATCTAGGTCATCATGCTAACCCTGGGTTCTAACCAGTTTAAGTAGTACCTCATTGACTCCACATGCACCATCAGTTTGCATCGCCATCCTGTGCTCACTAGTGGCCTCTGTCATGTGCCGACTTCCCTGTGCCCCAATTCTGCAGCAGTCTACTATTTTATGTTCCATCCATTCCTAGCCCCTGCAATCCTCTGCCGAATTCAATACACCTTTCCCCAGTAAGGATGGCATAGCCATGGATCTACAGTGACTTTCCCTTGCCATGAGGTTTGTCTGACCTGATATTATGCACCAGCCCTTCAGTAAGAGGCATCATGGCTGCATCATGGTGTGCTATTTTTTTGGTCAGGGTCAGTAGCATACTGCTGTGAGTCAAAGTGAGGTTCAGTGGTGAAAACCAACCAAAACCAACACAAAAGACAATGAACGCGAGTGGTGGTGTGCCTATGTGGTACCTAGATGGTAGAACCTGTTCTTTGGGAGGGTTTTTGCGAGCTACAACACTCAAAGATGAGTGCTGAGGGTTGGGGGTGCTCCTGACAAAGAGGGAGCAAGAATGTGATAGAAAGCGATAGGGTAGACTGCTGTCAGCCTACAGAAGGATGGATGGTGACCTAATTTGATGTCCTAAGCTGTACTGAGCTCAGGGAGGGCTTGGAGCAAAGTATATGGATGATAGATGATGATGAGCGAAGTAGATGATAGCTAGACCCTTAATAAAGTCTCAACTATTGAAGCTGATGAATGATTTACTGAGAGATGATAAATTGCGAGCAAGAGGGGCTCTCTGATGTCTTCTTCCTTTTCTTTGCTACCTAAGTACAGTGACTTATATACAGTACAGGGGCATTGCCTATGGAAAACAAGGTGCAAACACTTGGTAAGTGATTGGTAACTGATGAGTAAGGAATGTAAGCGATGGGTAATCGTCTTGGAAAGCATTGGTAAGCATTGGTAAGGATAAGTAAGCCAAAAAGCAAAGAATCAGTAAGCAAAGTCAAAAGATTGGTAAGTATTGGCAATAGGTGAGTCAAAGACAGTCAGAATGTCACAGTATGAGTCAAGCAATGTCAGGAACTGGGAAAGTGCACTGGAATCACATTAGGGGGAGGCCATGCATGTCACATCTCAAAGAGATCACTTCTAGGCCAAAGTGGGATGACAAAGAGGCAGCGCTGATCTGATGCCGATATAGTACATCCAAAAGCAGACAGGGTGAGTCAGATGTCAACAGGGGTCAAGCTTTGGGGGTCTGTGGGGTGACAGGAGCATAGGGGATTGCAACTTTCCCCCCCAAACCATCCTCTCAGTGAAGCAAATAAAAACTTCATGAATGAGGCTCTGTTGGAAGAGAGGATGAAGGGGGAGTGTCTTCTGCTGTATCTTGCAACAAGGAGGCAAGATGTGCATCATACTCATCATGGATGTGATCAGGGAGAGTGGAGAACAGTAGATTATACTGTAGCTGTCGCAATTTTGGAAGAATGACAGACGAGACTGGTATGAAGATGTTGCAGGGGGCAGGGAGGAAGGATCCATATGCTTCTTGGACTGGAGAGACTGAAACAACCACATAAGACCTTTCCAAGTGAATGACAGACCTGAGGCGACCAAAGAACATCCTCCTGGAGGTCATACTGACAAAAAGAACATGCTGTCCAAGCTGGATGGGCTGAGAGGGGGCAGATGAGGGTGGGATGTACCAGGACACTTCAGGATGGAAGCTGGTAGGAACTCCTGGTAGATATATGTAGCCATGGTCCCTAGCAAAGGGGACAAGCGAAACGACCAATGTGGAGGCAGCCATATCAGAAGAATTAGTGAAATGAGTGTCTTTTGGAGGGAGTGCTGTAGAAACATGTGGAGTGCGCAAATCCTTTCCAATCTTGGAAGGTAGGATCACATGGCTGAGCACTACAAGCGAGTGTGGGAATGGTTTCGGTGTCTGCAGAATTGGTGGAGATATGTCAAAAACCGGAATGCCATACATGGGTGCTTAAGAATTTTATTGGCACTTAACTTGCCTCCTCCTTTTTCTTTGGCATTGACAACTTGTTCTTGTGTGAGGGATGACTGCTGACATTGCTGGCTGTCCTTCTTTGCATGAGGGCTATGGTCTTCACCTCCATTCATCAGCTACATCCATGTCCACCTCACCAAACACCTTTGGTGTGTGACAACACACCACTCCCACATTCAAAAGGTCATCAAGAAACTGATTGACAATGCCACTGCCCAGTCCCCTTACACTCTGTCTATGTGTTCTGAGCACAACCATTATGAATCTCAGTGGGCACTCTCTGTCTGCACTCACTGACTTAGATGAAGCCAACACTGGTGAAGGTAACCAATGGACCACAAGTGCATCAGCTGGGTCAAGAGATGGCAGTGGTGGTCTTGCAGAGGCTCGTACCATGCCTATGCAAATTCCTGCTCTTACTGACTGCTTCACAGGCATTGAAGGCCATCCAACTGCAACTTGATGTAGAGAAATCCCACAATCAAGAGCTACTGGAGAAGAATACCATCCTCGAGGCAAACAAAACACACTGGTCTGTGAAAGACATTCCTGCCAACATTATCACATATGATAGTGAGATCAAGACACTTGGGAAGAAGTATGCTGTCATGATGGAGATGTTCTTGCTGTGAACACCACTAACTAATGCAATGTCTGAGTGTCTATGTCCCCCACTCCCATATTTGCAACAGCTGAGTGTTATGCCAGCACTGCAGTGGAGGAACACAGTCTCATTGCAGAGCTTGACTCGATTCTCCTGGAACATCTACATAGATTGAGACATACACACTTCTTTCTCGACATCATACGTTCACATTTGTTGCTTGGTTCTCCTGTACTGACAAGATCCTAGTTCATGCAGGCAATGCAAAATGGTCATTCTGACATTCTGTACAAACTACGTGACAATGCCCATGAAATCTTTGGGCTACCAAAGAACCACTTCCTGCCAGTTGTATCTTGTCTCAAAGTTCCTGAAATCATCAAGATGCTTGGTGTTAATGATGTGGGCACTCCTAACCAATGCTTCACCATCTGGTTCCCTTTTCTGTTCAAGGACATGAAAGTTGATGTGTGCAAAACATTCATGAACTGGAAGCCACTCGCTCTGGTGTGTTCGAAACTACTACTGTTCTAAGTTTGCACTGGCAGGGAAAAGATTTTGAAGGGAGCACTGTGGGGCAAGATGTCCCTCACAGAAGGCTTTGTTCATCATGGTGGGCCAAGGACAAATGGGCAGAAATGGAAGGTCACTGTGGTGACACCAGGGTCTATTGCATGGGTGGCCACAGTGGTAAGTAGATTGCTTGCATTGATACAGCACCACATGTCACTGATTCAATCCCCATCATTATAGTGTATGTTTCTACTTTCACCCAACAAAGAGTTCCCAGGGAATGGCTGCAGACAAATCTCAAAAATTGACTACTATCAAGTGTTCCGCACATACAAACAAGTGCTTATCAGCAAGTGGATGGGTCATCACATCCAGAACATTGTTGCAGAGATGAATCACTTTGTGTTTGGGAATCCCAATGGGGCTACCAAGTCCAAGACCAGTGTGATGGAGGACCTGTCTGCAGAGATCAATGCTGCCATGGCAGCAATGGATGCCACTGTGTTGTCAGATGATGATACAGATGAGGTAGCTGCTGCTGATTCCAACATTCACAAAAGTAGCTCTGGTCTGTCCACTCTGGATTCAGTCTCAATCGCCAATGTGAACGTTCACATCAATGTGACATCCATACCTGCTCCTGGCATGGGCAACACCACCAACTCAGCCACCGCCAATAGCAATAATGTGGAATCCAGTACTGGTACTACAGCACAGAATAAGTCTAGTGGACATCATGGTAGAGGTAGATGGGCAAAGTAGCTACTAATTGTCATTACTGTTAGTCACAAGCATGTGTACTGTAATACTACTTGTATGCAATTTCGAAAATTTTGTCTAAGTCTTGAAAAGCTCCTTAAGAGGTGTTGATGCTTGTGTAGGCAGATTGGTCGCATGGACTAATGGTAACACATGCTAAAGTAAGTCTCACTACTAGTTGGCACTAGACTAACTAACACTGAGTCCTTGGGTTTGAATCCTGATCAGAGCCATAAAAAATACTTAGTAATACTTACTAGTTAGATTGGGGATGGGTTGTATTAGTAAAGATTTCCATGTAAGGTGATACTAATAGCATAGCATGTAGTAGACAAAGATAAGATAGATCAAAATCAAAATCAGAATAGAATAGAATTGTGGTCAGGTGATAAGATAAGATTACAAAAGGTAATATAATATAAAATTTTTGTTGCCTTAGTCTGAAGTGTATTGCGATCCTTGGCTCTCATTGCAATACATTGCAAGTCCAATTATGGTAGGACAGCAGTGCCCAGGGTCTGGATGTTTGTCACATGACAAGGCTATCATAACAATCATTATAATTACATTATAATTGCATTGCAATGTAGGGGTGATGGCACTATGTTTGTACTATTGACCCCCAAATATTACCTTGCTATGCCATAGCAATGCCTATTGTAAGTCTGATTATGTAGAAAACTTTAGTATTGCAATGCCATTTTAATTATGCATTTGATTGCAGGCATTGCAATCACTTGTGATGCATTGAAACTAATACACAGATTTTCCAACATAGGAGGACATTCTTTGGTCACCTCAGGTCTGTCATTCACTTGGAAAGGTCTTATGTGGTTGTTTCAGTCTCTCCAGTCCAAGAAGCATATGGATCCTTCCTCCCTGCTCCCTGCAATGTCTTCATACCAGTCTCATCCATCATTCTTCCAAAGTTGCAACAGCTACAGTATAATCTACTGTTCTCCACTCTCCCTGATCACATCCATGATGAGTATGATGCACATCTTGCCTCCTTGTTGCAAGATACAGCAGAAGACACTTCCCCTTCATCCTCTCTTCCAACAGAGCCTCATTCATGAAGTTTTTACTTGCTTCACTGAGAGGACAGTAAGGGGGGGAAAGTTGTGATCCCTTATGCTCCTGTCACCCCACAGACCCCCAAAGCTTGACCCCTGTTGACATCTGACTCACCCTGTCCACTTTTGGATGTACTATATTGGCATCAGATCAGTGCTGCCTCTCTGTCATCCCACCTTGGACCCAGAGGCAATCTCTTCAAGATGTGACATGCACATCCTCCCCCTAATGCAATTCCAGTGCACTTTCCCAGTTTCTGACCTTACTTGACTCATACTTTGACATTCTGACTGTGTTTGACTCACCTATTGCCAATACTTACCAATCTTTTGACTTTGCTTACTGATTCTTTGCTTTTTGGCTTACTTATCCTTACCAATGCTCACCAATGCTTTCTAAGACAATTACCCACTGCTTACATTCCTTACTCATCAGTTACCAATCACTTACCAAGTGTTTGCACCTTGTTTTCCATAGGCAACACCCCTGTACTGTATATAAATCACTGTATTTAGATAACTGAAAGGAAGAAGACATCAGAGAGCCCCTCTTGCTTGCATTTTATCATCACTCAGTAATTCATTCAGCTGCTTCAATAGTTGAGACTTTATTAAGGGTCTAACTATCATCTACTTTGCTTATCCTTGTCGATCATCAATATACTTTGCTCCAAGCCCTCCCTGAGCTCAGTGCAGCTTAGGACATCAAATTAAGTTGCCATCCATCCTTCTGTAGGCTGACAGCAGTCTACCCTATTGCTTTCTATTGCATTCTTGCTCCCTCTTTGTCAGGAGCACCCCCAACCCTCAGCACTTGTCTTTGAGTGTTGTAGCTTGCAAAAACCCACCCAAATCAGAGGTTCTACCATCTAGGTACTGCATAGGCACACCACCACTCACTTTCATTGTCTTTTGTGTTGGTTTTGGTTGGTTTCCACCCCTGAACCACACTTTGACTCACACTGAGTCAGTGGTATGACAATGTCTGAGTAATTAAAGATAAACTGGCAATAGAAGTTAGTGAAGCTGAGGAAAGATTGAATGTCTTTGACCTTGCAAGGCTCAGGCCAATCACAGGATGGTCTGGACTTTTTCCTTTGACATCATGAGGCCAGCAGGGGAAAGGTGGAAGCTGAGGTACTCGACTGAGTCTGAGTAGAACTCACACTTCTCTGGCTTTGCATAAAGGCTGTGAAGCTGAAGCCAGCAGAGTACTTCTCAGACATGCTGCTTATGAGACTCCTTATCTCCAGAGTAGATCAAAATGTCATCTAGGTAGATGACCACACAGACATCCAACATATCTGTGAAGATAGTGTTGACAAAGCACTGGAAAGTGGCTGGGGCATTGGTGAGGCTGAAGGGCATCACTAACCACTCATAGGAACTGTACTGAGTCCAGAATGCAGTCTTCCATTCATCACCTGGGGCAATCTGGATGAGATGATAGGCATGCTGGAGATCAATCTTGGTATAGATCCTGGCTCAGCTTGGTGAGTCCAAGAGGTCAGGGATTAGTGATAGTGGGTATTGGTCTTTCTTAGTGATCTTGTTGAGGTTGCAGAAGTCTACACAGAGCCAGTGGGAGCTGTCCTTCTTTTTGAAAAAGAGGACCAGTGTGGCATAAGGGGAGGAAGTAGGCCAAATGAAACCAGTGGTCAGGTTTTCATTGATGAAAGTCCAGAGGGCTTGGAGCTTGACCAGGGACAGCAAGTAGATGGTGCTGAGAGGCAGGGTTGTTCCTTCTTTGAGCTCTATCTTCAGGTCATATTCCTGGTGTGGTGGGAGTGTTGAGGCCTTGGCCTTGCTGAATACATCAGCAAAATCATGGTACTCTTCCAGTACATTGGGTAAGGCCAGAGGAGGGGAAGCTGAGGCTGATTGGGCTTGAACTGAGTCCAAGGGGTGGAGCTGAAGTTGGAACTGGACAGACCCTTCTAGTTTGCAGGCATGCACAAAGGCAGCTGCATTGATTAGGGAACCAAGAGGGGCCTTCAGGGGAGTGTGAGCCAGGGGGTCAGAGACTGGTACAAATGGTGCAAGGCTGGGTTGGTCACTAGGACTGGGGTCAGGAAGGCCAGTGGGAACTGGGCTTACAGGGGGTGTTGACATGGTTGGCATTCCTTGTGCAGGAGTCTGGAATGTTAGACTGCTCAGTACCCAATCAATCAACAGATTGTAGCAGGTGAGCCAGTCATGTCTGAGGACTATCTTACACTCAGAATCCAACAGGTCTAGATACAGGGTTACCAGGGTGACATCACCAGATGTGAAGCAGATATTGACATCTACTGCTTGGGTTATGGTGAAAGTAGACATTCCATCAAAGAGCCAGAGTCAGATTGGGGAGACTGAATATGGGGTAAACAAGTGTTGATTAGCAAATTGATTATCTATAAGACAATGAGTGGAACCAGAGTCCACTAAAGTATGAAGCTGAGGTAATTCTGGATTTTCTAATGTGACATACAGGGTCAAAGAGTTCAGACTGGAAAGAGTGGACATGTTGAGTCTAGCCTCCAAGTTTGCACAACTGGAGTCAGCACAGCTCCCAGATTGTGTGGAGTCCTGGGAGCCACTACCTATTTTTTTGTCTTGGGGGTAGAACCCAAGCCCAAGGCCAGTGCAGCTGCAGTGGTGGCTGTGGCATGAGCCTTGGCCTTTCTGGTCTTCTTGGGACACTTCTCAGCAAAGTGGCCAGGGCCTCTGCAGAACATGCAGAGGTTGCCCTTGATGCAATGCTTGTGTTCTTCTGGGGTGAGCTTCTCATCCTTCCTGAGTTTGCTAGGCTTGGGCTTGGATGAGTTGCTGTTATTATTGTTGCCTGGCTTCAATGAAGCTGGCTTGGACTGGGTAGAACCAGTATTATTGCTGCCAGTCTTGGCTTTCTCTTGACCAGTCTCAGGCTGATTGTTGTTGCTGGAGTTGGACAAGCCTTGGTGCTTACTTGCCCTTTAGACTTCTTCCTTGCACTCCCAATAGCATGCATCTATCTCTTGAGCAAGATGGTGGAGCTCATGAAGAGTCCATGGTTTTCCAACTCAACAGACTTTGTCCTTAATCTGGTCTGGAAGCCCAGAATAGAAGTGATGGCACAGCACACCATCTCTGTAGCCCCAGACTTGTGACACAAGCCAGTTGAAGTCCACTACATATCTATTAATGTGCTGACTATCCTTCATATGTAAATGGTCAAGCTGACTCTCAGCATCAGTGACTGGATCATGGGGGCCAAAGGTAGTTTGTAACTCTAAAATGAACTCCCTCCAGGAGTCCATCCAGAGGGGCTGGTCATCAGGGTCATCAAGTCTGAGCAAATCTGGCTCAAACCATTCAAGAGCCATGCCCTTGAGGTAAGACTGTGTGAAGATGACCTTGGCAAAGTCAGTCCTGAAAGCCCAAGGCCAGTCTTGGAAATTCAACTCGCACTGAATGAAGAAGGCACAAAGTTTCTTGGGGTTGGTGCTATCAAAGGTGTCAGGCTCATATAACTTGGTCCTGCTTGAGGACTCAGGACTAGTGCAGGCATTGTGAGCCAACAGTTTGATGGCCACTGCAAGGTTGTCCAGGACCATAATGGTAGGTTCTGTGTCCAGGTCTGGGAAGTCTGGATTGTCCTCCAGATTGTTCTCATCTGGGTGGTTGTCACTGGGCCCATCATCACCAGGACCATTGCCAGGGTAATCATCATCT